GGGCGGGGACCTCGGGCGTGGCCGACGTCGGGCGCCTTCGGGCCAAGAGGGCCGGCGCTGGGCCTGGCAGGCCCGCGCGGGTGGCGGCGCGGCGAAGTGGGCACGCCCCCACGTGGCGGCGCGTGATTGGGTGGCTGAGGCGGCCGGACGTGTCCGGTTAGGCGGCGGACATGTCCGGCGGCGGCGGGAAGATTTTTTTTAGGGTTAGGGGGGAGAGGATCCGCGAATTTGGAATGGGGGGTGTATATATAGGCATAGGGGAAGCTAGGAGAGTCCAAATGAGGTGCGGTTTTCGGCCACGTGATCGTGATCGAACGTTCTAGATGATGAAGCAGAGTTAGGTGGGTTTTGGGCCAAATTGGAGGGGTGTTGGGCTGCAACACACACGAGGCCTTTTCGGTCCCTCGGTTAACCGTTGGAGTATCAAACGAAGTTCAAATGATACGAAACTTGACAGGCGGTCTACCGGTAGTAAACCAATGCCGCTTGGCAAGTCTCGGTCCAATCAGGAAATGTTTAATCCCCACACATGAAAGAAAGCTAGAAATGGCCGCCGGAGGAGAACGAAGCGTCGGAATGCAAAACGGACAACGGGAAAATGCTCGAATGAAAGAGACGAACACATATGCAAATGCAATGCACATGATGACATGATATGAGATGCATGACAACGACAACAACACACGGAGACAAAAACCCGAACCCGAGGAAATAAATATAACTTAACGCCGGAAACGGCAAGAGTTGGAGTACAAATAGGGAAAGTTACATCCGGGGTGTTACACATGGTAAACTGTATGAAGTCATCGGCTTTTCTCATAAGGAGTGGAGAGGAGGAAAAGCTACGTGTCCAGCAACTCTTGGGATGCCAAATTGGTTCCTTTCCATGCAAACATCTCGGGCTACAACTAAGTATCAATCTATTGACGAAGAACCAGTGGCAACCTTTACTTGATCAAGTTAAGGAATTCCTTCCCGCGTGGCAGAAAGGCATGATCGCTCGAGAGGGAAGACTGGTGCTGATCAAACCGGTGATCACCGCCAGACCCATTCACCACCTACTAGTCATGGAGGCCCGCGCCGGTCTGGGTGTTCGAGGAAATTAACAAGTGGCTTCGAGCTTTCTTCTAGGTGGGAACTGATAAGGTGCATGGTGGCCAATCCCGGTGGCATGAAGCATGATCTGCCGCCACACTTGCTTCGGAGGTTTGGGTGTGAAGAATCTGCAACTGCAAGCGATTGCGCTTAGAGTTCGCTGGGAATGGCTTAGAAGGACCGAACCTGACAGACCTTGGCATGGCCTGCACCTACTCTTGGATGACATGGCAAGAGAGGTTTCCCACAGCTTGGTGAAAATTAGGCTGGGAACGGCAAGAAGGTGTTGTTTTGACTCGATCGCTGGGTTAATGGCTACACAGATGAAGAAATTGCTCCACTCATCATACAGCTTGTCAGCAAAAGGATCTTCAACAACCATACTGTAGCCAAAGCTATCACAAATGTGCGCTGGGTTAATGACATTTCGGCGCAGCTCTGCCCGCAAGGCCTTGACCAGTACATTCTCTTCTGGTACCGGGTGCACACTACCTGCTTCAACAACCTAAACCCTGCACACCTGGATGGTTTCGTCCGGAGTTTGGTCCCCCTCCGGTGTCTATTCGGCTAGCTCTACTAAAATGCAAAATATTTGCATGGTTGGCCTTCCAGTACCGATTTTGGACATCGGATATTCGGATCGCAGCGTGAGACATGGACTTCAGCTGGAGATCCCTACTTGACCCGTGTGCTGCCAGGTGGATAACCTTGACCACACCCTCGTGCAATGTGTGACCACTACGGAGATCTGGAGTAAATGCCTATCCCTACTGCATCTGGATATTGCCATCACTTTGATTGTGGATAATCTAGAGGGCTGGTGGATTCGCTCTAGAAAACAGTTGCAGGACAAAGCCAGGAAGGGATTTGACTCGGTGGTCATGCTAATCGCCTGGAATCTATGGAAGCAAATGCATGGGTATTCAACAACAGAGATAAGCAGCGTTTGATTACCGCTCCAGTTGATCATATTCTAGATGAGTTGAAGACATGGAAGGAGGCCGGTGTGGTGCATCTCGATGTTTTTCTGAGTAGTTAGGTTTGGTTATCTTTAGGTGTGGTGTAGTCAGTGGCATTGCGTAGCAATGGCCGAGGACTCTCTTGTAAATCTATTTGCTGTCTTCTATAAAAATATGATACGCCATTGACGTACTCTCGAAATAAAAACACCAGGCAGGTTAAGCAAAGGCAGCTGCAGGCACGATTGAGGATGCATTTGTGCTTGGTGACCATAATAAAGAGTTGATAGATTTATATGCTCAAATTGTAAGCTGGCAGATGTGCTAACTGCTGTCCAAGCTGCCAGCATGGCAAAGGCTGCTCAAGGAGTTGCCTGGCGGTCATGACTGGGAAGATAACAACCTAATGAACAGTTTTGCCAGTTCTTCCGTTTCGAAGCCAGAGCACTTCAGAGTTGGGTAGAAACGCCTCGGCGTTGAAATAGAAGAAGAATTGCAGGGTCTGCTAATGCAGCTGCTCGTTGATCTTTTGGAGATTGATAAGCTTGAGGTGGCATCGAGGCCTTCGTTGCGCCACAGATGATGTCTGATATAGATTCCAAAATGTCTCTCTCAGAAACAGTTTGCAGTGATTAAATAGCTGTAGAGGATTTCTCCGCTAGCATCCTGGCCAGATTCAGATTGCTTTTTTCGAAATGGTGACAAAAGATTTATCCCTTCCATGAATTAAGCAGAGTGATAGAGGCTTAAAAAAACACAGATTACAATTGGAACTTATCTCCAACGTGTTGACACTGATCAGTGAGAAAGCAAGTAGCACTAAGTGCAAGTTCAGAAATGCAACAAGTGGTATAAAATGAAGCAGCCGCGGCCAGAGACCTGAATCCTGATGACATTTAGGAAAAATCATGTTCACATTCACAGTAAACCTGACTCAGAACTATTGATTCTTGGACAAGAGCAGCCTACTGGTGTAGAAATAACCCACATTCACAATTATACTCGAATAACACGTAAAATATGGCTAAAGTGCATATCAGTATCTCATCAGCCTCTACCACATTCAGAAAGTACCTAACAAACCATAAGCCTCTACCACATTCAGAAAGTACCTAACAAACCATAGAAGCTAGGATTCTTCAGCTGTATAGAGCTTAAGCTAGGATTCTTCCAATCCATGCTAATGCTGACATGAAACTCAGAAGTTCAGACTCCAGAGTAGCTGAAACTCGGTTGCAGGGACCCTCAAATTCCAGACGAGATGGAGGCATGCCTTCACCGCTGCCAGGTGCTCAAGGAGAACCGGCCGCGGGTGCCGCGCTGTGAGGATGGCAGTGGCCACATCCTCAATCTGGCTCCCCAGTTCCTGCAGTGCTAGCTGAAGAGCGGGGCTTCCAAGTTCATGATGCCGGAGCGCTGTGCCCGAATCAAACAGCTCAATGACCAGACGGCGGTAGGCAGGGCACCTATCCAGGATGCGCGGAGGACTCCCGCCGGAGACAGCCCGGGCGGCCATGTCGACGATGGCTGGGGCGCGCACCAGAACCTGGCTGCGGGTACCAGTTCCCGCCTCAAGCATCAGCTCCGCCAGGTTCATGGTGGCCGACCCATAGGCCCCGAGGCGGCGGGGGCATGGGTACTCCAACAGGAGGATGGGCTGACGACTTGGCTCCAGACCGGGCTCCAAGGCGACCGACGCGTTGTTGTCGGTGGAGTGCCCGCGCTGTGCAGGGAGAGGAGTGTTGGCAGAGAGCCCCTTGTCGTCGTCGTCGTCGCGGAGGGAGGTGTGGGAGGGCGCGGGTTCGGCATTGGCGTCCTTGGCGGTGATGCTGATGGGGAAGAACGGGAGCGGCTGGGCGCCGCGTCGCTCCTCGCCGAGAACGTGGTCGCCGGAATCGTGGTCGAGCACCGGGTCGTGGAGTCCCTCGCCTGGGGCCTCCTCAGCGGCGAAGCGGGTCCGGAAGAGCGGGAGCGGCTGGCCGCCGCGTCGCTCCTCGTCGAACACGCCGCCGACGGACTCGTGGTGGAGTGGGGTGGCGGGGCCGAGCGCGAGCGCCGGGTCGCAGAGTTCCCTGCCCGAGGCCTCCTCGTCGATGTTGAAGCCGGTGGGGAAGAGTGAGAGCACTGGGTCGCGGAGTTCGTGTTAGAGTTGTGTCGAATATTGTGTACAAGTTAGGTTACAGTTGAACTTTATAGTTGTATTGTGTTTAAATAGATATGGAGTCGTGTCTTAATAGGACACTTGTATCCTAGACCTCTCATATATAGCGGGGCTAGACACATGATGTAACTTATGCCAACATAATAGCACAGGCGCGCAAGGGGGAGCCGGCGGCGTGTGCAGGCGCCCGGGTGGCCAGGGTGCGATATTGGGATGGTGTAACGGGGAAGAGCGCCCGTAGTCAAGCCCCGGGGATGTAGCCATATCGGTGAACCTCGTTAACAAATCTCGGTGTCGTGCTTGTGTGATTGATTGGTCCTTGAATGATCAACGGTATACCTCGAATTTACTATAACAAATGGTATCATGAGCTAGGTTATTCGGAGGCTGCGGATCGTTGACTTAGAGAAAGGATCAAGTCCAAGATGCATCCGACTATCGGCATGGTTCTTGACAAGATTGGAAGAAAGCTGATCAGCGGGAGGCACGTGTGCTTATATGTCAGCAGCCGCGGGACGTGCGGCGATCGTGAATCAATCGGGCGAGCGTACAAGGCGGCGGCTAGCTGGCGAGTACGAGGATCCGGCGAGTTCGTCAGATGGATTTGATCCGGACGGAGCCCAAGCAAGGTGTGTGGTCGCAAGGCTTGTGTGCTGGGCTTGGAAGCCCAGAAAGAAGGAGGCAGCCCAAGTAAACTGAAGGGCGGCATGGCCCAAGCGAACTAAGGGGCAGCAGGCCGAAGGCGAACGCCAGGCTTGGCGATTACGTGTGTGCGGCCGTACGTGAGGACTGAAGAAGCACGTAGAGAGGTTTGTTTTGGACAAAAACGGGACCGGGTCCCTAAGGGATCTTGTCTCCGTGGCGAATACGTGCAGGTGCAGTTTAAACACTGGTGCATGCAAGATATACTCACGTACGAGAGACGAGGCAAGGCAGCGAATCAGATTTGTGCGTGAGAAAATCTATCAAGGATACACATCCATTGGAAAGCAGAAGGTCGTGGCAAGGCAAAGCTAGCATTGGAAGTGCTTGGGGCATCGCATTGAAAGCTCAAATAATTGTTCGCAGAGTCAGCCGTACAAAAAACCATGGCACCAACGGGTATGAGGTTTAAGGTGGAGAAGTTCAGGGCCGGTCCTGAGTTTTTGGGGGCCCGAGGCGAACCTAAAACTCGGGGGCCCTTAATATACACATCATAGTAACATCAATGAATATACTTATATATAGCGTTACAAATAACATTTAACATTTAAATGCATCCAAAATCAGTATGATTATCCAGTAATTTATACTCTGAAATTACCTTAAAAAAATCTTCTAACACTCCTTGATGCAAAGTCACTTATGATGGGGTCGATGTCAATCTCATCCATTAATTTCTTCTCCATGCATAATGTAGCCAAACCATTTAATCTCTCTTGAGTTATTGTTGATCTCAAATAATTCTTCAATTATTTCAACTTCGAAAAGCTTTTTTTGGCCGATGTGGCCGTCACAGGGACAGTAAATAAGATGCAATAAGCAGATATATTGGTATAACTTCGAAAAGCTTCTTTCGGCCGATGAGTACTTCTCTCATATGCCCGAAAATTTCATCAACAGTAGCAAATTGTGCCTATGCATCTGATGAATTACCGAGCAACTTACTTTGTTCTCGCTGATGTTGGTCTCGACATTTTCTTCTTCCGAATTCCCATTAGTCTGTTGCTCTTCCCGAATGGCAACGATCACCTACTAGTCATCTGGGTTTATCAAAGCAGTGGAAGCACCAATATCACTCTTCTTGAAAAAATTGTGAATATGTGTGCGCTCTGATTGTATCAATTTATCCACTTCCTTCTTCCTTTTTCTTTTATGGCTACCAGATGAATTTGTCCAGTTGCTAGACGACATGATTAACACACACAATGCTGAAAACAAAACAGTTTGTTGCATCAATGATCAATCGTTGAACGGTGCCGGCTATGCAACCATAGAATTTATTGTATCAACATTATATGAATATATACCTCGGTTCCTGAATCCTGACGATCGAACTTCAGTGCGTTTGCCTATAAAGCACGGCAGCAGTGTAGCGCTTGGAGTCTGCAGAGGATTGAGAGAAGATCAACTGAGCAAAGGCCAAAGGGGCGTGATGATGGATCCCCAGAATTGAAATCTGCCGCGTACATAACCGGATTATTAAGGAAATTACCAGGGGACGACTGAGAGGCTGGAATACATGTACGACATCGAGCGTCGGCGGCCTAGGGCTGCGTCTGCGTGATGGAACATAATAGGAAGGGAACCGTCAGAATCGGATCAATCGCTGATCCTTTTTTCACGCGATCCCTTTCCTTTTTTATGTGAACGAACCGCTGGCTGCCTCGCTCGCTAGCTTTTTCGAGGAAACAAATCGATCGATCGACCTGCTGCTCCCTACGCGCGTCCGCAGCATGGGCCATAGGGGGCCCCTGAATTTGGGGGCCCGGGGCGGCCGCCCCCCTGCCCCTCCCCAGGGCCGGCCCTGGAGAAGTTCATGGAACTGAAAACCTTGGGTTATGGCAGACAATGGTGAAATATTTATTAACACAACATGGATGCTTGAAAGCGTTGCAGGAAGTCATGTCATCTGAGATGGAGTTATCATGTGATGGATGGGAATTCACAGAATGATTTGGGAGCCTGGTCGGACTGGACAGTCTGACGGATCGACTTGGATGTCGGTTGGTACAGAAGACGGTGGTGGGATCGGTTGTGGCGACATAGGAGTGTGATGCTGATGGTGACCGACTTCTGGGGCGTGGAAACACACGGCGTAGGCCCGAGTGCTTGTGTGGCTTCGACAAGACTATGGCGCAGGGTTGATTCAAGACGGTGCACATGAGAGCTTGATGTTGACGGGACGCGGGGTGGACTGATCATCTACCATGGAGTCATGTTGAAGGTGGAGCTGGATTGAGGGGCTACGATGTACGGATCCAGGGAATCGAAGCCTATTCAGCAAAAGGGGGAAAAGCGAGTGACATGCAGTTCGGACTGGAGCCCAGTGGTCTGATGGAAGCGTGAAACTCGTCACCGGTCGGTGATGATCGGTGGTACTCTGCAGTGGGGGTTGAGTGCTGTGGTTTTGTGACCCTTGAGACTCGACCGGGACAGCGGAGGCTTGACGCGGTAATAGCGGCGAGGCGTGCGGTACGCATGGGGCATGGAGACGGGCCAGGGCTCTGGTGGTCATACATGTGGTGAGACAACTGTGAATTTGACTCGGGATGACTGTAAGCAATGGTGAAATTTCTTCAAGTTTCAGACATGTGGTCAAGAAAGGAGCAGTGATGTTGAGTTCAGGTAACTAGTATGTGCGATACCCAATATGTGAGTTGTTTATTTTCACGCAGGTCAATGATTAGTGTGTGATGCGTTGAACAGAGCTCTGAAAGTTGAGAGCATACACTAGAGTAAAGAGGAACTTAATATTGCTCGAGTGTTGACTGTGGTCAAGAAAAGAAGGGACTACAAGTTGCAGGTGGAGTCACATGGAGTCTTTGGAGTAGCAGTGGTGCTCATAGGATAAGCTCAAGTCCAATGTACATGGAAGTTTGATGCATGGACGAATTCAAGGTGGTGGAGAATATTCGCCAAGGTGGAGTTTGTTAGAGTTGTGTCGAATATTGTGTACAAGTTAGGTTACAGTTGGACTTTGTAGTTGTATTGTGTTTAGATAGGATATGGAGTCGTGTCCTAATAGGACACTTGTATCCTAGACCTCTCATATATAGCGGGGCTAGACACACGATGTAATCTATGCCAACATAATAGCACAGGCGCGCAAGGGGGAGCCGGCGGCGTGTGCAGGCGCCCGGGTGGCCAGGATGCGATATTGTGACGGTGTCACGGGGAGGAGCGTCCGTAGTCAAGCCCCGGGGATGTAGCCATATCGGTGAACCTCGTTAACAAATCTCGGTGGCGTGCTCGTGTGATTGCTTGGTCCTCGGATGATCAACGGTATGCCTCGGATTTATTCTAACACCTTGCCCGGGGCCTCCTTGTCGATGTTGAAGCCGGTGGGGAAGAGCGGGAGCGCCGGGTCGCGGAGTTCCTTGCCCGGGGCCTCCTCGTCGGTGTTGAAGCCGGTGGGGAAGAGCGAGAGCGCCGAGTCGCGGAGAACGCGGTCGGCGGACTCGTGGGTCGCGGGGGCGAGCGAGACCACCGGGTCGCGGAGTCCCTCGACCTCCTCGTCGGTGTTGAAGGTGGTGCGGCGTCCCTCCGATGGAACCTCGCCGTCGGAGAAGCAGTCGGCGTCGTCAGGGTCGGGGGTCGCCGTCGTGTTGCCGACCGGTGTCAGCTCCGCCTCGCGGATCATGCGATCCATGAGAGCAGACGAAGTGCTGATCATGGTGTGCATGATGACCAGCGCGTCGAGATGAGTCATGCCTTTTACCACCCAGCCCATGTCCTTGATCTGACGCTGCAGCAGTCTCTGGATGCTGCGTGTGTGAAGGATGCCATGGAGGCATGGCACCCTGACCTGGTAGCTCATCACAGTCCCGTGCATGTCGATCAGTGGCTCCGCGTCACGGAGGGAGCTAAGCTTCCTCTGGTGGATGGCTCCCTTCACCATGGCACGGCGGCCTCCCTTCTCCATGGCAGCACCGCCCCGGTGCCCTCTCTCTTCTCTCTCGGGTGAATTGAAATTGGAATGGGTGGTGTGCTTCGTGCGGTGGGACGAGGGAAGGCGGGTTAGATTGGGGGTAATCTAAGAAGTGGGAAATGCGAAGAAGGAAACTGGCCAACTCTATCTTCCTGTGCAAGTAAGAAATCTGTATATAGGATGGAATGTTCAGGAATCTGGAATAGTATATCAGATTAGGCTTGTATCGAATCCTCATAAAAAAAGACTAGGCTTATATTTGTTTTAGGAAGTACTACTAACTAGCAACTGTTATAAAAATAAGCAACAAAACCCAACACCACACTATAGATCATTTTCATTGCATGCATCATACAAGACAAAACTGCTGATGTCAGCAAAGATTCCATCTAAAATTAAAATTCAAAATGTTTTGTAACTCAAACTGTTGCTCCGATCGAAAAATTGTTTTCACATGAAAAATTTGTCACGACGAGACCTTCAAAACTAGATCTCATATTGATATGTTTTGATGACTTTTCTTTTGTATAAAAAGTTATCAGGTCTTGGCTAAGTGCTTATGCTACATAAGTTACTATGATGTTTACACAGAAATGCCCGGACATAAAAAATGGCCCTCTAACCTTTCTCTCCACATACACATGCATTTATGCACTAGAGGACAAAAAATCGATGATTTAGGGGGTGTTTGGTTCCAGGGACTTTTTTGTGTTGGGACTAAAAAAAGTCCCTAGCAAACAAACATGGTGGAACTTTTTGTTAAATGTCCTTAGAAGCACCTCCTTGAGAGTCTTTTTCAAAAAGTCCTAGAGACTAGAAAAAGTCCTAGGACTAGAGAAGCAAACACCACCTTAGCTTATTTAGAAACTTCAAAAAGTTTTGTAGCTCAAACCGTCGGTCCAATTGAAAAACTGTTTGCACATGAAAAATCCGTCGTGGTAAGACCTTCAAAACTATCATGTTGACATATTCCCATGATTTTTTCTCGGATCAAAAGTTGCTACACCTGCATTACGTAAGTTATCATGGTGTTCACACTGAAGATACTATGGTATGTTCAACAATTTTTTCTCTAAGTCAAAGTTAATGTAGTGTTTGTACGTAATATCTGTAGTGCATAGATCACCATACCCATTTACACAGAAGTTACCGCGAGTATGTATCAACAACTTTTTCCCTTGATGAAAGTTATCGTAGTGTTTGTTCATAAATTATTAGCCATGCAGTTTGTATATTACCATGCCTATTTACACTAAAAATACCAGAGTATGTTACAAGAAGTTTTTTTTATGGATCAAAGTTGCCATGGTATTTGTGCATAAGTTATCAGGTCTATAAACTGGCCAGACAGACCATCTTTTGCGGGGTGGCCCACAAGCACGCATGCCTGACACATCATGGGCCCGGCCCAGCACGTGACTAAATGGGTCATGTCTAACCCATGGCACGCCAGGTGTCATGCTCGTCCGTCGAGGTGAGGCCTGTAGGCCGGCACGACATGTCATACTATTTACACAAAACTTACCGGTCGGGTATTTGTTTTCAATAAAAAATCACATGGTCGAAATTACCATGATGTTTATATGTAAGTTATCAGATCTATGGTGCTATATTATCATGAAGTTATCAAGGTGTGCTTTCAATTAAAAAACCACCTTGTCAAAGTTACCATGGTGTTTGTATGTAAGTTATCAAGTCTGTGGTACGTCTATTATCATGTTATTTTTATAGAAGTTATTGATGTATTTTTCCAATAAAAAAATTTCACATGGTAGAAGTTGTGGTACCTAAGTTATCAGGTACGCGCTTCATAAATTATCATGCTATTTACACATAAGTTACAGTGGTTTTCCCGAGTTCAAGACCTAGACTTGAGATTGGTGCTCGTATTTTCCTGGATTTATTTCAGGCCTTTCAGTGATGTGTGTTTAGTGGGAGAAGACATTCCTATCGATGATAAAGGTGTGTGTGGCCAATTCATCAATCTCAAGATGATGTGCTGGCTCAGTCTCTCGAAGGTGCTCATAGAGGTTGGGTGTGCGTGCGTGTCACTGGTACAACGAGCTGCTATACAAACGGGTTTTAACCCCTTTCCCAGATGGCATTTTAAACCGCCGCCTTGCCAGTGTGGGCGATAGGAGGGTCGTTCCCACACGACCCAGAAATCATCGGGGATAGGGAGTAACAATGCATACGTTTTGCATAACTAAGCGTATGCGATGCCGACATCTATCCCAAACACGAGTCTTCACAGAACTGTTTGTGATATTTCAAATATCTCAAACACTCCATCCTTACTACTCGTTTGTGCTCCCATTATTATCACAGTAAGTATTCTGTGGTGCTACATTTACGATGCGCGTCCCATCACAAACAGTTCATGATTATAGAATGTGTATGATAAGCAGACAATCGCACACATTTATTTTTCCTTGACTATATGCGATTCGATGTAAGAGTGCATACAGTTGTCCCTTTAAAACTGTATGCAAATCTTAAATATATGCCACACGATTCATCAGTCGTACCCGTGTTGGATGAAAGCCTATCACACGTCCTTCTATGGGCAAACATTTACGATGCACATGCCAACATAAACAGCCAAAATTGTCAAACATGTGTGGTAAGGTGACTTTCGTAAATATTTAATAAGAAGGAACTATGTGCGTTGTTGTTGTTAATCTCACACATTTTTTTTCTTGGCTGATTGTGTGTGTGCTGTAGAGATTCATCACACAAGTAGGGGATATGAGAAACGTGTCTGATCTTGACATTTATCACAGACGTTTTGTTTTTGCAAACTGTGTGCAGTGTACTGGCCTGCAGAACATAATTTATCTCTAGTTTAATCCCTGCATTTAAAAATCACAGATTTTGAATTTGAAAATAGGCAATCACTTATTTCATATCGAACCATGTTTATTACAAATATAGGTTCAAGCACGAATACATAATTCGATGCACAGGTACGTACATATACTGAAGAACTACAGAAGCACTAAGTAAGAATGATGAACCACAGTTGTACTAAAGACTATAAAAAGAGAGACGAAAGACATTCTGATTGATGGAGAAGGTGAAGCGGAATGCCCATATTGTGCCCTCCTCATGTGTAATGCGTGCACGACTCTAGGCCAACCCCTTGTGATGGCTTCTCGCCCATCCTTCACTATCTTCATTAGGACTTCTCGATGCTCACTGTAGTCCCGATGAAATACTTTAACCTTCATTGCATGTCCACCAATCATGTACTTTGCGAGGTAATCTTGAGTAAACTGTTTTGGGAACCACTGCAAACGAAAAAAGATTCAGACATTGTTGTCTAACAACTCATTATGGGCAATAAAAAGAGAAGGCTACAGAGTTCGTAATTACCATCTTACAGCTCACTGTTGTGTTGGATAGAGTATAAACAAATAATTTGATTGCCACCTTTCATAACCTTTTGCGAATAATCCTTATTAGTTTCCTCACTTGATGGTGGTTCATGAATACCTCATTGCCCCATACGCAAAAAAGGGTCGATGCGTGGATCTTTGTCAAGGACATATGTACCTACAAGAAACAAGTCAATATTAGAAGTTAAAAGGTGTTTAGGCCTGGATCTATATGCACTATATTATGGAACGAAGGGGGAGTACAAGCCGAGGGATGAAACTAACCTCGACAGAAAATACTGGTCACTCCCGTTGTTGTCCTGCATAAGTACATGGAATGGCATGATAAGTACAACAATCTTAACGTCAAACAAATATAGCCAAGATAAACAACATCATCTCCAAATGATAGCTTGAATGTGTTGGTTTCAGCATGCTGTTAAATCAGATATAAAATGGAAGGGAATTTAACTACAACAGGCTTAACAGCCACCAAATATTGTAATTCAAACTCTTATTGTTGAAAATGAATAGAACGTAGCTCAGGTTTAAACATCACACTGGATAAATGTGTAAAACTGAAATAAAGGGCATGTGTTAACTACAGCAGGCATAACAGGAACCAAATATAGCCGTTCAAACAGGTATTGATGAAATCGAACTGCACAGTTTCGACTTGCACATAATGAGCATCACATTGTGAATAAATGAAATAAACAAGGCATATATGATCATTACAACAACCAAATATAGCCATTGAAAACTGGACAGAGACTCACTGCAACCAACCTAACAAGAAAATATAGATAAACAGAGCATATGCTTGAAAACTGAACAAATGCTCACTGCAACCAACCTAACAAGCAAATACAGATAAACAAGGCATTTACTTGAAAACTGGACAAATGCTCACTGCAACCAACCTAATAATCAAATATAGATAAACAAGGCATTTGCTTGATAACTGGACAAATGCTCACTGCAACCAACCTAACAACCAAATATAGATAAACACTAGTGGAAAAAGTGGTAGCCACAACATTCGTTGGTGGCACGCCATTTTGAAAGAACACCAACACTATTTTTTTAAAATAGTAGTGGCGTCAGTCTATTTCGTATGACATAGGTATGCAGTTATTACTGGCGTACGAATAATAGGGAACGCCACCGTTAAGTGGGTCCCAACGTTCTGCCATGTCCCAAGTTAGAGCTGGCGTAGCAAAATTTCACGATGCCGGTACTAATCAGAATATCTATGGTGTAGCCTGGTAAGTGACGCCAACAGTAGTTTTTGCGGGCGCATCTAATTTTTAGCTAACATAACATCGGCGTGGGCATTTCTTGAATGCCAGGGATATAAAAGTTTCTAATGGCGTTCGGTAGTATGTTAATGCCAGTAATTACGTCGCAGCACATATAGATATTTTCTTCTTCTTCCTCCCTCTCTCTTTCCTCTTCCTCCTCTCTCTCTCTTTCCTCTTCCTCCTCTGTCATCCTCTCTCTCGCTTCTCTTCTTATTGAGAAAAAGATCAAATATTTTCTCTTGATTTCTTAAGTAGGTAGCTAATTAGCTAGATCTAAGCTAGTTCACACACTCTCACTCACTAATTAAGCTAG